TTTGGCTTTAGGACATACCGGAATAAAGGCCCGTGGTTGGCTCAGTCGACTCCGTGCTAGATTCTTGAGTTCAGCTCAGGTCTTGGTCTCTGGGTTGTGAGTTGTAGTCCAGCCTTGGCCTCCGTGCTGGGGCTGGAGCCACCTTAAGCCGAGGAAGAAAAGAACACCGCGAGGTGGACCGGAAGGCACGAGTGGATTATGGTCTGCCACAACTAGGTTTTAATAGCCAAAGAAGAGGTGTGACCTGACCGTATTTGGATTCTGTGTCTTCCTATCACTTTTTGAGTAATTGATGGTTGCTTCAGGGGGGACAACCAGGATTAGCTTGTTTGTATAGTACAGAAAGCCCATTTTCCCATACCTTGCATCGTGTGGCTGAATGTGGTTTTCACCGATGAGTTTCCCTAAGCCGGTTTCTAGATGGAACCTGGAATCGCCTCGGTAATGCTGTCTCCTAACAATAGCATCTGCACTGCCTGGAAACTTAGCAGCCAGGGGAGATCTGATTCCTGGAAGTATTGCAGGTCATTCCTTTGCCTTGACCACCTTCATCTTGTTGCTTTTTCCCCTCAGGTGCTGGTGATTGGGTGCGGTAACTCGGAGCTAAGTGAGCAGCTGTATGATGTGGGCTATTTGGATATAGTGAACATTGACATCAGTGAGGTGGTCATCAAGCAAATGAAGGAACGCAATGCCAGCCGACGGCCCCAGATGAGCTTCTTGAAGATGGACATGACACAGATGGAGTTTCCTGATGCTTCGTTCCAGGTGGTGTTGGACAAGGGCACCCTGGACGCTGTCCTGACGGACGAGGAGGAGAAGACCTTGCACCAGGTGGACAGGATGCTGGCTGAGGTTGGCCGTGTCCTGCAGGTGGGCGGTCGCTACCTCTGCATCTCCCTGGCTCAGGCTCACATCCTGAAGAAAGCAGTGGGTCACTTCTCTCGGGAGGGGTGGATGGTGAGGGTACACCAGGTGGCCAGCAGCCAGGACCAGGTACTGGAAGCAGAGCCTCGGTTCTCCCTACCTGTCTTTGCCTTCATCATGACCAAGTTCAGGCCAGTCCCTGGCTCAGCCCTTCAGATCTTTGAGCTGTGTGCTCAGGAGCAGGGCAAGCCTGTGCGGCTGGAGAGTGCCGAGCGGCTGGCTGAGGCGGTGCGTGAGCGGCAGCAGTATGCCTGGCTGTGCAGCCAGCTGTACCGCAAGGCCGGGCTGGGGAGTGTATCTCTGGACTTGTGCGATGGGGACACGGGGGAGCCACGCTACACCCTCCACGTGGTGGACAGCCCCACTGTGAAACCATCGCGGGACAATCATTTTGCCATTTTCATCAGTGAGTTGGGATTGCTCCCTCTCTTCCCTGGAGGGGCTGGCTTATAGGGGCTGGGGCTTTGGTGGATGGGTACGCCGTGGCCGGTTTATCTTGCAGGGGGTGGCACTTCAAGAAGTTAGACTCTCCCGGGCACGAGGGAGGGGGAGTAGCAGCTGTCCAGCGACCTGCTTAAGATGTGAGGCTTATTTCTTCACACCTTCCATCGCAAAGGCTTGGTAGAGTGTGAGAAAGGGTTCGGTAGGGAGGAGAGAGAGAGGCAACAGGGATAAATTTAGGTAAGTCTCACAGTGTAGCGAGTTACTTTGTACCCCGGAAGCCGCAGAGTCAGCCCCGTAGCCTGTGAGCTGCATGACTTGGGGAGAGCTGCTGTACTTCTCTGCCGAACTTAGGGAGATAGTACAGAGTAGTAGCTAAACAAGCCACTGTTGGGTTCCAGTCCTAGCTCAGTCCCTTCCTGGTGGTGTGACCTTGGACATTCCTTTTCTTTCGGTGCCTGAGTTTCCTCATCTATAAAGGGAGGTTGTTAACTGTCGTGTAGGTGGGAGAGGTGTAAAGTCTCTTGAGTGGTGCTCGCACATGGTGAGTGCTTGGAAAACAGAAATGGCATGAGTGAAGGGTGTAAATAATACCAGATTTACCTCAGTAATGGTGAAAAGAAATAGGATGACGAAGTGCTTTCAGAAGTAGGAAATTCTAGACAAAGGCAAGTTGTCGAAATCCTCACCCTGGTAATTTGCTGACAAGTCAGCTGTTTTCCCGAGTGTTCCATAATCCTGCCTGTCCACCTATGGGAACAAAGACTGTAGTTGACACAAGCATGGGGTCTGGGGCTTGACTGCCTGGGTTTGAACCCCAACTTCCCCATTTACGAATTGTGTGAATTTGGGCAAATAATTCCACTTCTGTGTCTCAATGTCCTCGTTTATGAAATGGGAATAATAATACCACCTGCATCTTAGCCTGTTGTGAAGATTCAATTAGTTTCTATTTGTACGCTTCTTGGAATAATGCTTAGCATGTAATAAGTGTTAGTATTATTGCTAATTTTTTTGGACTAGGTACCCACCTCTCTCCCTTACATGGTCACATGGGTCCTACCGTGTGTCTGATGGCTGCTTTGCTCTGGGCATTGTGCACTAGGGAATTGACAGCCCTCAGTGGGTCATAGTTGGAAGGGATGCTAGGACTTCACTGGGGCTGACTCTGTGCCATGTAAGTTATATTGGTTGGGTCTTGAACACTCTTCCCTGGACTCTGTTCACCAAGTGCTCTTTCCAGTCCCCCAGGGTCGTGAGACCGAGTGGCTCTTTGGCATGGAAGAGGGTCGGAAGCAGCTGGCGGCCAGTGCAGGCTTCAGGAGGCTGATCACAGTGGCCCTCCACCGAGGCCAGCGGTACGAGGGCATGGACAGCATCCAGGCCGAGCTGTCAGCCAGAGTCATGGAGTTGGCTCCCGCCGGGATGCCCGCCCAGCAGCAGGTAATACAGAAATGGCAGCAGCTTTCACGGATCTCTAGAGAAGTCATATTAGTGGCCACATAGGCAGAGGGTGACTTGGAAGGAGCTAGGACGAGGGTCTGTGCCCCTGGTCTATTCCTGGAGGGCATGTCAGCAGCTCAGAACTAAGTGGGCAGTACTTCGGTTCTCTTGACTCCAGGCAGTGAGAGGAGGGAGAGGGGTTGCTATTTGGAGTCTCGCAGTAGCGTGTATATTTGTGGGGCCTCTGAGACTCCACACAGAAATGAAATGCTCTCCACCTTCCAGGCTCTAGCTCTTTATACTGTGGGTTGTTCAGACCCTGTTTCTCCTTACCTCCTTTTGTGTCTTTTGCTTCTTGGAACCATCATTATCTGAGTGTAGAATGAAAAAGAGGCACAACAGTTCAGATGAGTTTTTGGGATATTAGCATTGCTGGCCTGGCATTTTCCTGGGAAGGAAACAAGGTTTTTGCTGACATTGTCTGTCTTACTCCAGCCTGCTCGGACAGGGTTGTTGATAGCTGAGTGCCTTACAGGTGCTTTAGCCATGGCAGGTAGGAAAGCCAAGGTTCTTAGGGGCTTGTTGCTGTGGTAGCAGATGTGGAAAGATAAACCTAGACTCCCCAGTTCTAGCCTGTGGTTCTGCCCACTACACTGTCTTGTGTTTGCAGATGAATGTGTGTTTGATTGGGGTTGGTGTCCCTCAAAGAGATGGAGATCCTGTGGGGAGTGCCGGTGTCTCTGCACAGCCAGGGTTTCCTGGTGATTATTAAATACTCTTGGAGGTCTTTAAAAGAAATGGAAGTAAAGATTGAGAAGGGAAATGGAAAAGTCTAGAGGGAAAATGTGTTTTTCTCCTAAATTTTTCTCCTGTTAAGAAAAATGGGGAAAAAGATGAGAATAATCGGAGGGAGAGAGTTCGCCAAACTTAGAATGGTCGGTTTCTCTCTGGATTTGTTCTCAGATCTCCTTCTCTCATAGTTCCCTGCGGAAGGTTCCCTCTAGGTTTTATGGAAAGTCCTTGAGCACTCCTAAGGAGAAACTCATGTTTTTCTGAGGGAGAAACCTTGCATTTTACTGAGAGTTTGGGGGATCTTTATGGGTTTAATTGGTTTTCCAAAGAGTGGATTAAACCTTTTGTGATCTCTTGAAAGGCCCCAGGAAAGTTCCTTTCTTTTTTTCTTTTTTTTTTTTTTAAATATAGCTTTCTTAGTTTTTTTTTTTTTTTTTTAAGGTTTTATTTATTTATTTGACAGAGAGAGAGATCACAAGTAGGCGGAGAGGGGGCAGGCAGAGAGAGAGAGAGGAGGAGGAAGCAGGCTCCCCACTGAGCAGAGACCCCGATGTGGGGCTCGAGCCCAGGACCCTGAGATCATGACTTGAGCCGAAGGTAGAGGCTTAACCCACTGAGCCACCCAGGCGCCCCTCAGGAAAGTTTCTTACTAGAATGGCAAATCTTGGAAGTTCTTTGTGTCCTGAACCTTGGTATGGGGATTCCTCATACACACACAAAGGGAAAAGATGATCATTTCTCATGTTTCTTAATTGAGCTGGTGTTTGACCACATCTCTGTTATATCTTCAGGTGCCCTTTCTGTCTGTGGGTGGGGACATCGGGGTCCGGACCGTTCAGCACCAAGGCTGCAGTCCCTTGAGTGGCAGCTACGTGGTCGAGGATGTGCAGGGGGATGACAAACACTACTTCCGGCGGCTCATCTTCCTCAGCAACAGGAATGTGGTGCAGTCTGAAGCCAGGTTGCTGAAGGATGTGTCTCACAGAGGTGAGGTGTCATCCGCACACTGGTGGGACCCAAGTGGACATGGCCTGGATTCTCCATTCAGGGTGGCCAGAGCGACCTGGGTACCTGTGATCAGAGGCACACGGCTCTGTGAGTTTTCCTGTTACCATCTGGGCTCTGCTGTAAACGGCAGTAAACAGAATGGAGGTGTATGTTATTCTTGAGTGAAGCCCGGGTCTCAGATGATAAGGGGCTGGGGTGGTGCTTTACCATACAGATGTGGTTATCACTTTAATGCCTTCAGTTTGGAGGCTGTCTGTTTTGTATGGGGCTCCATATGCATCTGTATTATATTAATTCAGTAAACTTCTGTGAGGTGAGCCTGAAAAGTTCCAGGTGCAGGTGACCCCCACCTCCTCCGTACTGCCGGCCTCTGGGATAGGTTTCAGAAGGGCTTTGGAGTTGGCGGGTACCTCACAGGCCACCTAGTCTGGTGCTGTTTAGTAGAACTCTCTGCATTGGAGGGAATGTTTAATGTCCGCTTAGTTGCCCAGTAGGGTAACCACTGACCATGTGTGCCTCCTGAGCACATGGAATGTGGCTGCTGCAAGTAAGGCACTGAAATGTTAACGTTTTCAAATTGTAATTTATGTTCAGTGGCCACAAGTGGCTAGTGGCTATGGTATTGGACAGTGTAGATCTAGGCCATGTCCTCTAGGATCCTTTCCATTTCCTTAAAGTAGGCTCCAAGCCCGGGGGTGTGGGTTCTTGAGTCGGATCTGTCTCGCTACAGCACAGTGCTGCTGGTATGGCTTGCTTTTCCTGGACTAGCGCGCTCAGCATAGGACCTCATCATCTCTGTCTCTCATTTAGCCCAGAAGAAACGGAAGAAGGACAGGAAGAAGCAGCGGGCTGATGACACTCCAGAGGACCTCCCTGCAGCCCCAGGGCGGCCCGTTGACAAGACTTACCTGTGCTGTGAGCACCACAAAGCAATGATCGCCGGCCTTGCCCTGCTCAGAAACCCGGAGCTGCTCCTAGGTGAGGGGGACGCTGGTGCCTTCCACAGGCAGGGGGTGTGGACGATTACAGTTGTCTTGTGGTGTGAGCACAGCAATGACAGACCAACAAACGTACATATATTCCTAGTTTTCTCCTTCCCAGTCTTCTTCTAAGTTAATAAATGGCCAGTAACTTTTCCCTCAGACTCAGATTGTAATCTCAAAATGACTGCATGTGTGGGTGTCTAACTTTTTTCTTTTATTCATTTATTTAAAATATTAAAGTGGGGGGGGAGGGTGACTGGGTGATGGACGTTAGGGAGGGTATGTGCTATGGTGAGTGCTCTGAATTGTGTTAAGACTGATGATTCACAGACCCACACCCCTGAAACAAATAATACTTTGTATGTTAATAATAAAATCAATATATTACTGTTAACATGTTAATAATATAAATCATTAATATAATTATTAATATTGATAATGTAATTATCAATATTGACAATTAATATAATAATAATGATAAAATGTATGCAGTGAGCTACAGAAAGTACACAGATTTTAAGATGTTTAGTTTATTGAGTGTTTGCATGTGTCTACCCTTGTAACCAGATGGAACATTTAAAAATCATGACTCCAGAAATTCCTGTGCACTTGGGAAGAATTTCTGGCTTTCAGTACTGCATTATTTGAGCACCAGATGCAATTCTTTCTCAAATTTCTATTTACATTAAGAAATCTATTATTATTGGTAGAACAATCATAGGCTTATTACTAATAAGTAATTACTTTGGATCTGACCACAGTAGCAAAAATGTTCACTTTTCTGTCTAGGCTTTTAACTGTTCACCTAAGGGCCTGAGGATGTCTTATGAAACACCCTATGCTCTTGGCTTATCTTGGTGTTGCTCTGTGTCCCTAGAGTCTCAGTTCTTAGGTTTAATCCTCTGATATCAATCCTAATTTAATGTCTCCTTCCGGTGATTCTTGTTTCTTGTCTTCTTCTGTCTGCCTATGGTTGCTGAGGTTTCTCTGTACTTAGGACTAGGATTTGGGCCTTTGTTTTCCTATGATTTCTGGAACTTGGGTGGAATGCCTTTCTTGGCTGATGTGTCTGAGAGGGCAACTGTGGCCTTTGAGTTGAAAGCTGGGCAGAGGGCATTGCATCTACACTGCCTTGTAGAGCGAGATGTTGGCCATTGTTCCTCAGTTCCTAGGGGAAGTCTGATCATGCTTATGGTGGGGACTCTTGGTATGATATCAGCTGAGAGCTTTGGGATCTTTAAGGCTCTGTAATAATAACACACTGGTTCAGCTTCTGGATGTAGTAGAGGAAGGATTGTGAGGCCAGGGTTGAGTTTTCAGATGTCAGATTGGCCCCTAAATTTCTGGGATGAGACAGAGAGGCTGGGCCTCTAAATCTTGTATCCCCTGGGCAGAGCCAATAATCCAGCTCCCTCCTTAGCCCTCCCCAAGGCTAGTACAAAACTTTCAGTGAGCCGATTGTCAAACGATTCTTTATTCCTTTATTGCAGAGACCCCACTGGCATTGTTGGTAGTAGGCCTGGGTGGGGGCAGCCTCCCTCTTTTTGTCCACGATCATTTCCCGAAGTCCTGCATTGATGCTGTGGAGATCGACCCCTGCATGTTGGAAGTGGCCACCCAGTGGTTTGGCTTCTCCCAGAGCGATCGGATGAAGGTCCATATTGCAGACGGCCTGGACTATATTACCAGCCTGGCGGGAAGAGAAGGTACTACAGCTTTTGGAGAATTTGGAGGGGTGTTGGGAGAGAGTCCTCGAAGTCAGCAGACCTGCACGGGCCTCTAGGCTTCATCTATGACAATTAATCTTGTCCCCGTCTTTCGCCCGTTGATTTGTTCTTCATTGGTTGATGTACTGATTCAGTAAATCTGGAGTGCCAGCCACGTCCTCAGCACTGAGCTGGGCGGTTGGGATACAGCAACAAGGAAAATCGACCATGTCTGCCCTTGGGGTGCTAACGGATCAGTGGGCTTTTCTCCTGGTTCTCTTCTGACTCTGTGTCCTTGCCACTTCCTCATCCTCCCAAGGAACCCCTAAGGTGTGTAGCTGGGTGAGGAAAAGGGGAAGAAAAGTTGGGGTGTGTGTGGGGAGTTGTTTATTCAGTCTTTCAGCTGGGGGTGAAGCAGAGAGAGAGCCAGGCAGCATTCGTGTAGATCAATGCTTGTACCCCTGGAGGCGTCGGGCCGTGTCTGCAGACGTTTCATTGGCCCTTGTAAGCACAGGTGAGGGTGCTTCTGGCAGCAAGTGAGTAGAGACCAGAGATCCTGCTTAACATCCTGCCGTGCACGGGACAGCCACCCCTGACAGAGAATTATCTATCCCCAGTGTCAGTGGTGCTGAGGCTGAGAATGGCTGAAGCAAAGGCTGCTCAGCGGGGTTGTGGTGACCCTGCTGTGCTGCAGTTAAGGCTCCATTTTGCTCTCATGTTTCCTACTCAGACTTAGGACAAAGCATATTAATGTTCTGCAATAGCTCCTGTGCTCCTTTTGCCACGGTATATGTAGGCTCCTGGGGGCTGGTCCTTCCCGGAGCATGGGTCCCTCAGGGAGAAGTCAGCCAGGTTGGTTCTGTCTTAAGTGAACCTGGGAGCTCGAGCCACACACCCTTCCTGGTCTGTCTGTTCCATACCTCATCCTCTGGTTCTCACTGGATCAGAGCGTCTCCCAGTTAGGGTGTGGCAGAGCAGGGTGCCTGGGGTGAGTATTTTGGTGCTGGGATAGACAGATGGTACAGGAATTTTAATTGCAAGCTGAACTTTCTATGAAGTGTATCTAAGTCTATCAGAGCTTTACAGGTTACCTCTCTGAGGCTGGGGTCCGTGTGGGGACTCCGGCCCAGCATAGCTAGTACATGGGAAATCTTTGAAACTGCTCAAGGCTCATGGCAGGCACTCAGTCTGTGATGTGTTGCCATCGTTACTGACTTTCAGTCAGTTTTGAAGAGCCTGGCAATCGTCTCTAACAAGCAAGGTTGTTAGAGGTCTCAGTGCTACAGATGTGAGCCGTGGTTGTCCTTGGACTTTGATGAGCCACCGTGTTCTGCTCTCTAAGAAACCAAAACGAGATCTGTGCCATGCCCGGTAATGGGCATGCAGTAGTCCTAAGTCAGTATTTATTAATTATTGAATAACCATTATCGTGGTCTCAAAGTTCGCTGCAAGTCAGTAGCATTGCAGGTTACCCCTGTAAAAACTGTTTCCGATAGAGAAAGGGAAGCATCTCACGCATCATCTGTTCTTTCTCACCCAGTTAGCAAGATCTTTTTTCTTGAGCCCGCAGTTATTCAAGTACTAGAAAAAATACACTAACTTTAATTTGATAACATTTTCCCCTGCAACCACTTGCTAGGTCAGTCCTTAAAGGCTTAGGCAGCTGCTTTGCGTAAATCAATAGTTCTTAACTCTGCCTATATTTTGAATTACCTGGGAGTTAAAAATACTTGAGGCTTCCTGTCTCCCCTTCTACCTGTTCCTTCCCACACCAGGGTTTTTGACTCGGGTGGTCAGGAATGGAGCCCGGGTTCTCCCAAGTATTTCAAATATCCTGAGGTGACCCTAAGGTTCTGCTGGGATTGAAAATTACTGGTACAGATGGACTCTTAACCAAGTAGCAATGATGCTAGTGTGGACCCCATGAATATGTGTGCTTATGGAAGGGGCTTTTATTTTTTTTATTTTTTAAAGATTTTGTTTATTTATTTGACAGATAGATCACAGGTAGGCAGAGAGGCAGGCAGAGAGAGAGGGGGAAGCAGGCTCCCCGCCGAATAGAGATCCCCAAGCCCGATTCGGGGATCGATCCCTGGACCCTGAGATCACGACCTGAGCTGAAGGCAGAGGCCTAACCCACTGAGCCACTGAGGCGTCTCTGGAAGGTGCTTTTAAATGTGGAGGAAAAGATCAGGTCAAAGCCCTGGCTATCATGTGGGGTACTAACAGCGGAACCCTGAGTGACAGTGACTCCCCTGGACGGTGATGTCAGTGCCCTTACAGACAAGCCATGGCGTCCATGTCATCCTTCTGACGTAGCCGCCTGCGGCCACCACAGGTCACAGGGCACGTATGGTGCAGGAACGTAGATGGTGTTAGACAAAGACTTGTTTGCCTCTCTTTTCCCAGCTCGGCCCCACTACAATGTCGTCATGTTTGATGTTGACAGCAAGGACCCAACACTGGGAATGAGTTGCCCACCACCAGCTTTTGTGGACCAGCCTTTCCTGCAAAAGGTCAAAAGCATCTTGACTCCTGAAGGTAGGAAGTACAAAAGGTTGGGGTGGGAGGTGGGATGGGGCCTTTAAAAATTGTTTTCTTTTTAACGAAGAGTGTGCATAAGTGTGTAGCTTGATGAATTTTCCCGAAGTGAACACATCCGTTTACTCTGAAAACACAGAACACTTGGAGCCCACCAGAGGGTCCACCCCTTACCTCCTCCTGTAACTCCTCCTCTCAAGGAGAACCCCATCCTAACTTCAGTCAGTACTGCTTAGTTTTGCCCATTTTTGTTCTTTGTGTAAATGGAATCTTATGGAACATACTGTTTGTTTTCTTTCACCAAACATGATCTTTGTGAAATTTATCCATAGTGTTGTGTTTACATTGTTATTTTTATTGTTGTGTAGTGTCATTGTGTGTCTGTACCGCATTTGTTTCTCCAATCTGCTGTGCTGTTGGATTATTTCCTACTTGAGGCTTTTATAAGCAGTATTGACATCGACATTCCAGTAGGTGCCTTTCAGTGAAATGCATTTGCAGGTCTGTCAGGCATGTAGGTGGGGTTGTAATTACTGGATCAGAGTTTACTTGTAAGCTGGGGTTTCCTAGATGTTGCCAAACAGTTTTACCATGTGCAGCAATTCACATCTCCCCCAGCATGGTCATGCCAGCTACCATCTGATTTCTTTCCATGGGGGCTGGCCTAGACATTGTGCTGTTTTGTCGTCATAGCAGCCCATTTTCAAATAAGGAAACTGAAGTAAGGAAACTTTGCCAAGGTGGCACAAGGTAACAAGCTGTGGTGCCAACTTCTCTTGGAAGCTAGAGCTCTTAGACCTTATGTTGCCAGCCTCCCAGATGTTTGGTTTGGTGTCAGGTACTTGGGTGAACATAGATTTTGGGAACCTTCATTGTTATAGGTCAAGGTAACCTTGGCCCTCTTCCTGGCTGCTAAATATCCCAAAGTGTATATGTCAAGAGTGTGACAGTCCCCTGTGGAGTTGGTACATTTTTTTCTTGGAGTATTAATTACTTCTTTCTCAAAGCATTTCTTTGGGAAACTGAGGCAAGGAGAATGGCAAAGTAATTTGTTACCAGCACAGAAGAGCAAGAAATTAGCTTGACGTCTTCTCATCGTTCACATATTCCTGCCTTCATATGCAGTGTGCTCTCTGCAGACTCACTGCAGCTGGGTTTTCTTAGGCCACCAGCAGGAATCGGTCTGTTCTCAGAGCTGAACCTTGTCTCCAACATGTCCCCGAACTGCCAGACATGACTGTTTCCTTCCTACCCTGTAGGTGTCTTTATCCTCAACCTTGTATGCCGGGACTTGGGGCTGAAGGACTCAGTTCTGACGGGGCTCAAAGAGGTCTTCCCTCTCCTGTATGTGCGGCGAATTGAGGGTGAAGTAAATGAGATCCTGTTCTGCCAGCTGCACCCGGAGCAGAAACTTGCCACGCCAGAGGTCTTGGAAATGGCCCAGGCCTTGGAGCAGACCCTGAGGAAGCCTGGGAGGGGCTGGGATGACACGTATGTACTGTCAGATATGCTCAAGACCGTGAAGATTGTGTGACTGCTGGGCCGGGAAGTCTGCTCCGCTTCTTGCCACACTGACCTTGGGCTCCTAGCCTTCCAGAGATTGAAGAATTATAACGCACAGTATTTTTTAAGCCTCGCATTTTTCTTGGTTTCATACCTCCACCTTAGTGGGGTTGCCTGAAGATCTGGGGAAATAGAAAATGTCCTTCCCATCCTGTCCTCTTTAGTACCACTCGGGTTGATTCCCTCTGCTTCTTCTCCTGTGTCCTTGAGTAGGATTCCCTGCTGGAGCCCCCAGCAGATGCTGATGCCTTAATGACTGTACACCGAGCTCATTAGGATGGAAGACGATCAAATTTGATCGCTGGTTTGCTTTTGCTTTACCTTCCTATTGGTTCTGTAGGAATGATCTCAAGTGAGATAACAGCTTTCAATGCCAAAAGACTATAAAAAGAGTAGGATTTCCATAGATGTGAGACAGATTTGAGAAAACATCTAATCCACTCTGTCTTCCTCCAGATGGAACTGCTGCGGACATGATTCCAAGTTGTAAAAACATGCTAACCCACTCTACCAACTTTTCTCAGCTACCCAAGCCTTGTAGCCTAAGGTTTTTGTTCTTTTCTCAGTGGAAGGGATGGATGTAAGTGGCCCCGTAACTGCATGTCGGAGACAGCGGACTGAAGTCTCCGGAGCTGGTCTACTCTCCATTGACTGACATGTGGGACCCAGCACAAAGGCTGTGATTGATATAAAGATGGTTAAGAGTGGCCAGAAAACATGGATTAGTAATAAAAATGAGCATGTTCCGGTAACTTTGATTCACGTACACTATCTCATTTAATGAAATAAAGGAATGTTAAGCCAAAACTACATCTAACCTCAAATCTCATTTGAGCCAGCAGCATGAGTCCTATCTACCTATTTATCGAAACTGTAAAAGCAGCAGTTCAGAGATTGGCTTGAATTTCATCTCTCCTAATTATGCCAAAGCTGACTTAATGAGCAGTGCCATGGAAAGTAAGCATTATCACCATACACCATCCCAACTTACTTTATAGGCCCTTTCAAATGGACTCTAACCTCTTGAGGTGAAGCATATTTCAAAGGTAGCGTGTCATCCTTACAAAATCTTGTCAGCCCATTGAGGAGAAAGGATGTGAGGACAGAGTAGGGTTTTGGATTTTACCCATTACCAAGACTTGGTGTTCCTTAAAGGGAGGATCTTTCCCTGGAGCCATGTAAAGGGAAGGCTGTGTCTTGCCATGTCCCTGTACCTCAAAGGGCCTCAGTTTGGGAATCCTCCCATTGTCTTCTAACTTGTAAGCTCATGCAGTGTTAGGACAGGTGATAGAGGACCCGGGTCTGAGTCAGAGGATCTACTCTGACTGCCCTTCTGTCCTCTCACTCTCTCAGGCTGCTGGCTTTGGGATAGCACATTTGGGTGGCACAGCCAAGCTAGAGATTTACCAGAATGAAGATGAGGTCTCAACCATCTAAGAAGAGCTGCCCAGGGGATTAAGCAGGCTTGTTGGAAAGGAGCCTTCGGAAGTGGGAAGAGGCCAGCAGGGGTAATGAGAGTTGTCTTCAAAATTTTGGAAGTCCGTGGGTACGAAAGAAGAGTGAAATTGATTTTGTGTACCTCCAAATGCTGAAGGAAGACCAGCGGACAGAAATTACAGTTTGGCAGCTTTCAGCTTTGTTTCCTTCGAAGAGATTTTTAACCAATGGAGGCCACTTTGCTCCTTGGAACACATGGTGACTCAGGCGGTTTTCTCAGATACTGGTCTTTACTCCCCTTGGTGTCCTCCCTAAGTTGTGAGGAAAGGGTTTTCTGTGTACAGGCAATGCCCTTGGTTGTGTCCCATCTTTCCCCAGTGGAAAACTACTCCCTCTTTTAGGGGGGTGGGGATGAGTTTCCATTTTCTTTTTATTTCTTTTTTATTGAGATATAATTGACATAAAACATTAGTTTCAGGAGTGCAGCATGATTGGTTATTTGTATGTATTGTGAAATGATCACAATAAGTCTAGTTAACATCTCACAGCTCTTCACTTTTGTACTGATGACACGCAAATGGGTCTTTGTGAGAATTTAGCCCAACTGTAGGCACAGGAGTTCTGAAGGAGGGGGGAAGCCTGTGAACTCAAATACCTTCCAGACTAGGCAAGTCACATAACTGTGTGAAGTGAGCAGGCATAAAACAAAAAGGCTAGGATGAAGGCTGCAGCAGACCGGAAAATAAGGGCTCCCTCAAACGGGAGCAGCTGAGAGGGGTCCTGACAGAGCGCTGTCCCAGCAAAGCTAGGTCTTTGAAGAAAAGCCAGAAATCCTGAATGTTTCCATGTGTGTGGCTGTTAAAATAATGGCCAGTCAGAAAGTATCTTCAAGGGACGCCTGGGTGGCTTGGTTGGTTAAGTGTCTGCCCTCTGCTCAGGTCCCAGCGTCTTGGAATCGAGTCCCACATCAGGCTCCTTGGCTCAGTGGGGAGCCTGCTTCTCCCTCTGCCTGCAGCTCCCCCTGCTTGTGTGCTCTCTCTGAGAAATAAATGAAATCTTAAAAAAAAAGTCTTCAAGCCGTAACTAACCTGTGGGCAGGTAGTTTGCATCGTCCACCGCCCCGGGAAAGCTCCAGAGCACTTGAGAATCTGGCACACACCCAGGCTCTGAGTGAGCCGAAAACAAGGAGCAAGCTATTAGGTACTGGTCCCGGAAGTCTGCTGAAGTCCCATCTTGGGACATGACCTATGTTTTCTGCAATGGCTACTCCTGCGTGGAGATGGTCCCACCATCCTTGGGGTAGTACACAGTTTAACTTCCCAGGACTCTCAGAGGCTGAGCAATAATAAATCACATGACAACCCCCTCCTCCTCCTGCGAGACAAGTTCTGTAACCATCTGTTGACCCTCTCTCACCCCTCCCAACACTCCAGTTTCTCAGTGTGCGGCTCCAGTTTTCCATCACGGCCCAGCTCGCTAACTGAGCCACTTCTTTAGTCCCTCCTATGGGTAAACCAGTAGTTCTCAGCTTCATGTTAGAGTCTACTGATATGGTAATAATGGCCCCCAAATGTGTCTGACGTGTCCTAATCTTGGTAACCCATGAATATGTTACATTACATATTCATGTAATGTAACAAAGGCAAAGGGGAATTCATGTAGCTGATGGATTTGATATTGTGAATCAGCTGACTTTAAGATAGGAGATTATTCTGGATTATCTGGGTGGGCCCAACACAATCACAAGGGTCTTGAAATTGGTGGGGGGTGGGGTGCAGAAAAGTCAATGTCAGAATGATCCAATATGAGAAAGATTCCACTGATGGTTGCTGGCTTTGAAGATTTAAAGAGCTCCTCGGCGTCTAGAACCTGGAAAAGGTGAGAGAACTGATTCTCCCCCAGAGCCTCCAATAAGGAATGCAAATCTGCCAACATCTTGATTTTAGTCCAGTGAGCCTCTTTCGGTCTTTGGCACTGTAGACATAAAAGATAATAAATGCATTTTGTTTTAAGCCGCCAAGTCCATGGTAAATCCTTATAGCAGTAATAGAAAACTAATATACCTGGGGAATGTTTTGAATATGATAAGAACTTTTAAGATCTGCTCTTAGTAACTTTCAAATATGCAATATAGTATTATTAACTATAGTCACCATGTTGTACATTATATTCCCTTGACTGATTTTATAACTAGAATTTTGTACCTTTTGACCCCCATCACTCATTGCACCCCCCGCCCCCCCCCGCCCCGGCAACCCTCAGTCTGTTCTATCTGTAAGCTTGGTTTTAGGGTCTTTGTTGTTTTATAAGATTCCACGTGTAAGTAAGAGCATATGATAATTGTCTTTTTCTGACTTATTTCACTTAGCATAATGGCCTCAAAGTCCTCCATGTTGTCTCAAATGGCAAGGTTTCATTCTTTTTTATGGCAGAATAATATTCCATTATATATATGTTACCACATCTTCTTTATCCATTCGTTCAATGATAGACACTTAGGTTGTTTTCATATCTTGGATATTATAAATAATGATGCGATAAACATGGGGGGACACATATCTTTTTGAGCTAGTATTTTAATTTTCTGATAAATACCCAGAAGTGGAATTGCTAGATCATAAGGTAGCTCTATTTTTAATTTTTTGAGGAACTGCCATACTGTTTTCTTCAGTGGCTGCACCATTTTCCATTCTCATCAACAGTGTGCTACCTGGGATACTAAAAAAAATACTGAGGTTTGGGTGCCACCTGTAGAGATTCATCATTTACTTGGTCTGGGAGACAGCCTATGCATCAGACTGTCAGAAGCTTTCTAGGTGATCATGTGCAGCCAAAGTTGAGGACGACTGAGGTAAAGGTTACGTGAGCGGCTGTGCGATTCGGCTATGCTACTCCCATCGCTGGCTTAGCTCTGAGACACGAGTGGCAACATTCACTTGATGGAATACGTTCTCCCACTTTGTCTAGGAAAAACACACTGTGTTTTCCTTTCCTCAGACTCACAGCACTCTTACGCTGGATGTGGAGGGTTTTTTCCTCCATACCAAGCAATGCTCCAGCTCGTCACCACCCGCAAGGTGTCCTACAAATTGGACACATCAAATTGGACACATCTGCCTGAGGTTAGTGCAGACCCAGAGACTCCCTGCCTGGCTTCAGGTGTGTCTCAGAATCGGGACTCCAGGTGGTCGCTTGTGCTTCTCAGCAACGAGCCGTAAGTCATGGGTTCCCATGGCCCCTTCTCTGGTTCAGTCATCCGCAAAAGCAGCTCACAGAACTGAGGGCCACTGTTAACTTAGGTCACCAGTTTATTATAAAAGGATACAATTCAGGGACAAGCAGATGGAAGAGATGCACAAGGCCAGGTGTCTGGGAAGGGGTGTGGAGCTCCCCTCCGGGCACGCGGCCTTCCTTGCACCTCCACGTGTTCACCCACCTGGAAGGTCTCAGAACCTGTACTCTTGGGATTTTTATGGAGGCTTCATCATGTAGGTATGACTGAGTGTTAACTCAATTTCCAGCCCCTCTCTGTTCCCCAGAGAATGAGAAGGCAGCTGAAAATTCCAAGCTTCCTCTTGAACCATGGCTTCATCTTTCTGGGGACCAGTTCCCATCCAAGAACCTACCAAGAGTCACCTCGTTAGAACAAAAGATGCTTCTATCACCCAGGAAATGATAGGACTTTCCGGAGCCCTGTGTCAGGAACTGGGGTTCAAAACCACCTGGTGGCTGGTCAGTTAAGTCTCTGCCTTCGGGTCAAGTCCTGATCCCAGGGTCCTAGTATCGGGGCCCCATATTAGGCTCCTTGCTCAGCAGGGAGCCTGCGTTTCCCCTCCTTTTGCTGCTCCCCCTCCTTGTGCTCTCTCGCTCTCTTAAATATATAAAAAATCTAAAAAAAAAAAAAGAAAGCAAATGGTATTTTGTATTATTTTATACATCTATGCACCTGTGCACACCTCACCTTTGTCCTTTGAGTGGTTGACGGTGGGGCAAGGTCAGCTTGCTGCACAGGGTAATTCTGTCCATGGAGCACAACAGCCCACTCCCCACTGTGACTGGGCCCTGAGTGTACTTCCTGAGGGCTAAAGAAAGCCCAAAGACTTTATTAAACCATAGGTAATCAAGTTTTTCTCTCGTGGTTTGTCTTCCATTCGGTTTCTAC